ATTCATGCCCCTGGGGCTGGGATTGCAGACTCGGGGGTCGGTGAGGGCCACTGGGGCAGATGCGGTGGGTCTGCAGCTGCTTCTGAAAAAGGTGTCCTTAGCAGAAAATACCAGGCAGAGTTCACCTAAAACATAGTGACCCACTAAAACATTCCTTCACCAAGCAGCCCCCTAGACCCCATTCTCCATATTGGACCCCACATCACACCTCCAACTCCCATACCTGCCTGCACCTGCTATGCGCCTTTGCTGGAATGAATGTCCTCCTCACTCGCAGGGCACATGGTCAACATTCCTTCTCCCCAGGTCTTCCCTGACACCACGTGCCCACTCTCGGAAGGGCAGCGGTCTGCGCTCCCAGGAGGTGGCAGGCTCCATGAAGACAGGCGTCCTCAGCACTTCCCACGGCACGTGGTGCAGTTGGCCAAAATGTCTTGCTCTTGCAGGGAATTGGGGTACGGGGAGAGTCTCGACCCGTTCCTTGTGGGGGCAGGGAAGCCAGAGTGAAGGACTGGCGCTGACCCCGAATCTCATCGCTTCCGCTCAAGACAGGAGAGCAGAAAGCCGAGCAGCAGAGAATGGCCAGCAAGGCAAGGGTGAAGGGGCAGGACGGGCAGACGCCATGGTGACCTGCAATATGGTGGGGGATCTACTTCACAGTGGGACAGATGCCAGCTACAGCACTTGGGGACTCGAGGCGCATCCCACAAAGCCACCTCTCCTGTGAAATGAAAGGCAAGGGAAATGCGGGCCCAGGCAGAGCCCAGAGCCCAGCGTCTATGCATGCAGTCATCAGTCCTGAACATTTCTGCCGGTCGTATTCAGGGGAATCTTGTTTGTGAAACGAATTTCCTAAAGACTTCACCAATCCCTGGATATCTAGTTTTAACACAACACACAGGACAACAAACGAGCCCTCCGTCGACTGCTCGGTGAAGCAGCGGCTGGAAGCACAGGAAGCCGTCCTGAAGGGAGAGGCAGCACATCGGGATGCTGTGCACTGTAGTGCGTCACACTGCAGGCTGTGTTGAGTCTCCGGCTGGGGCAACGACTAACACTCAACAGCTAGCCTAATGGATATTTCAGAGGCTGCTCAGCGGTGCCATGGAAGAGACCTGGTAACCTACTCCTAAAACATCAGCCACTGAGAGCCAGTCCTCTGGAACACGGGACAGACACACACTGAGCTGGACTGACACACGGCACCTGCTTGCGTTTGCACGTGTTCCTTAGAAGGGCAAGTCGTGAATTTTGCTGGGACTGAGGACTAAATGTGTTAGGGCCCTTCCATGGGGCTGTGAACTGGGGGGCACCAGCACTGGGGCTCTAAGTGCAATTCCAGCTGCGTACCTTTGATGTGTAAGAGAGCGGACACCTGGAAGCAGGCAAGCTCTGTGCTGAAAGCAGTGTGGTGGGAGCCGACCACAGGCCAAAGGAGGCAGATGAAGACATTTTATTCCAACATGTTAACGGTTAGAGCGAGAATGTCCAAGATCCCAAGGTTCAAATAAAAATAGATTTTTACAAATTAAAAAAAATACATTTTCTATACACAGGGGACTTAGCTAACACAACTGTGCAAACCAACAGTGCGAACAGAAGCGGAAGCTGCTGCTGTGAAGGGGCCGAGGCCACAGCTCTGGTCAATACTGCCTGGGCCTGTCGTCCACCGGCCGGGCCGCCCCGGCGCACTTCTTTGAAATGTGGCCGACGAGGCAAGCCCGGGACGGCTGCTTACACAAGGTCAGGACTGGGCCATGTCCAGAGCGCCAAGGGTAGGACCACTCCTCTCCGCTCCCCTCCTGTGGTCTCACCCACAGGCCAGCACCTCCGGCCAGGCCCAGGTCCAGTGGTTGAGGTCCCTGGTCACTAGGAGGGGGTGCAAGTCCAGGTCATGGGCTGGGGACTTGAGAAGATGCTGGAAGCGTTTGCCCGGTATCTAAGAAGGTATCTGAAGGAGGAGGGGGACAGCGATGGTTACAGTGAACAGACAGGGTCTTTGGGTTTTTCGGAAAGGACGGGAACATGAGCGCCTCTGTGGCCACCGTCCATCCAGTTGATCCAGGAGGGGCGGGAGGTGTTTGCATTCTACTATCTCTGGGAACAAAACATCCTGGGACTCAAACCCAACGTGACGTGCAGGAGGGACACACTCCAGCAACCATCAGGCAGGGCTGCCTCCAGGCCCTTCCGCAGGGAGATGTGGGCGGGGCCGCTGTCTGCGGGAGGGCGGCGACACCATCGTCCCGACTTAAGTAATGCGGTCACGCTCTGGCCACTTCCGTAAGCGAGTGGCAGCTAGGCTGGCCAGTCCCATCTAGGCGGGGTACCCGCCTGTTTGCAGTCTCCCGAGTTCCTCGAGTGTTGACGCTCTTGGGTCCCTAGGGAGGTTGAGAACTTCGGAAGTTAAAGTCACTCTGACCAAGGAGGTAAAAAATTGGGGCCGGATGGAAGGGGCCATGTCAGACAGGAAAGATCCAGTGTGGTAGCTCCCGTACGTGGGGAGTCTTCCTGAGACGCAATCAGAGGGCTGCTCCAGTCCAGCCCGCCTGGAGCCCCAGAGGCAGGCTTTGCAAAGGAGGTCGGCGGCAGCAGCCACTGTGGCCCTTGGCGAACGCTGGGGTCTTAGAACTCACGCCGGGAGTACCTCCAGAGACCTACAGCACGCGTGTCTGCCGCTGCTGGAGACGTGAGCAAGAGGCGGTCAGCACGACACCCAGAACCGTTCCCCAGGCTTGCTCCCAGGGCCCACGTTAACCAGCCCGCAAGAAGTCACTCAAACAAACAGGGGTATCCGCCTCGTGCTGACAGAAGCCCCCCACCCTGCCCCCCCTCTCACACACAGACCCTCTGTCTGTACAACACATCTCTGCAAGTTCCCATTTCTGAGGCGCAGGCCGTTTGGGGAGGGCAGTTTATGAAATGTAGACACCCTCTTTTGTGAACCAACTGAATAGTCTTCCAAGTGGCTTCCTGTGCATTCTGGGGGTGACTGGCTTGCTTCCACTCTATACAAAACAGCACTAAGCCCACAGTGAAGTGAGCTGTTTCCCAAAGTGGGCCCTGCCTTCAGCTAATTTGGGGGGTGGGGGAGCGGGGAGATGCTAAGATCCTGGCGGGGGCCACTAAACCAAAAAGAGAAAACTGAAGGGAGGCTCGGGAATTCCCGTGGGTCGAAGGAATCAGGGTTGAAAAGTGTTCCCAGGAGACCTGCAAAACGCAGAGGGAGCAGACGGTTCAAGGCCAGAGCAGCCCTGCCGGGCTGATGTGGAGCTGGACTGCTGGGGTGCTGCCCCTGGGGCATACCTGCTCTGTGCTTCAGGAAGGGGCTCAGGCCACAGGCACAGTCTGGACCCTGAAGCTGGCTCGTTTTCTCAGTGCCCAATCCTGAAATTTGGCATCAACTGAATTTCGCAACTGCCCCCAAGCCCTGGTTTGCCTCAGCCAAAGTCTCTCTCGAGGTTTAAGGCAACAGCTGGGTTGCTAGGAAGCAGCCCAGGGGGTGCTCTGTTGCCCCCTCCCCCAGTGGCTGAAGCCTGTCTTCTACCTCTGGTCCAGTCCAGGGTGGCTCCCCAGGGCCAGCCTCTCAACACTGGGGGGTGGAACTTGGGGAGCAGGAAATGGGGCGATGTGTGCTGAGAAGTCCGAAGGTCTGAACTCTGATGGTCAATACCCGCCGCAGGTCTGCACCCGCCCAGCGTCCGTCCGTCTGATGGTTCCGGGGTTTCTGAGTGTGTGGTGCGGGCCCTCCTGCGCGGGCTGGGCAGGCTGGACCGCGGGCGCCCTCAGATGGTCTGGTAGTGCTGCCGCAGCCGGGCCTGCAGGAACTCGTCCGTCAGGTTGTGCCGAGTGATGACCCCCACAATCTACGCGGGAAGGAAAGACAGTCACTCGCAGGGGAGCTGCTGACAGAGCGTGAGTGACAAGCACCAGCTCGGGCCGAGGCGAGGGGGGCCGGCCGGGCAGACAGGCCGATGCCACTGTAGGCTTTCTCAGGACACAGAACCCAAGCCCAAACCCAGCCCAGTGGCCCCATGCTGATTCCACCTCAAGGAGGAAGCCCCCCCACCCGCCTCGGGTTGTATTGCAGTTGCTTTGTGGAAGTGGTTTGCCAGGCCTTGCTTCACAGGTCCTGGGGGTTTGAACTGCCAACCTTTAGGTTAAGAGCTGACCAGGAACCTTGATAAGTGATCAGCGACATTCATTTCGAAGGCTTGCTGAAAAAGACAAGCAGCTAAGCAGGGCACCCTAACTGGGGCCTATGGGTGAACCTAACTCCAGCTGAGGAATGAGTTGGGCCCACTGCGATAGGACTTCACAGCTCTGTGGTCCTCCATGCCCCTACAGCCTGCCTGCTCTGGGTATGTGTGCGCCAGGCCCTGCTGCGGCCATGCTGCCCAGGTAATTCTGACTTAGCCGAATGTCCCTGCTGTGGGAGGGAGCAGACCAGGGGGTCTTTTTCCCTGGGGCAGTGATGGTGGATCTGAGCCACTTGTCTTTTGGACACTGGCCACACGCCTTTGCTTCAATCTCATGCTGGCCTGTTACGCCTCATTGTGCCCTCCTTTCACAAGTCAGTCCAGTGGCCAGGGTGGTCAAGGGTGCCAGGCACACCAATGCGAGAGCTCGTTTCTGTAGGTGGCAGTGAGGGCTCAAAGAACAGGGTCTTGCCTGCTGCAGGGACTGCGTCAGAACTAGCCTCGCAAGGAAGGGTTCTGCTGGACGGGGGTGTTTCACCCTGGAACAGGTAGGATCTGCCGGGTGGCAATTTGGCAAGATCTATCAAAAGCCTCAAACATGTCGAGAGGGGATACATGATGACCCAGTCAAGCAACACAAAGCTAAGAATCACTGGCAAAGTACCACGGGTCAAGGCTTTCGGTCATGAGCAGCCATCTCCTGTACCCCCAAACCACACACGCCGCCAGAGGTGACTCCCACCCCCAGCCATGGGTAAACCGCCCACAGAGTTTCTGAGGCTGTCAGTCTTTTCCGGAGGCCACACCCTCGTCTTTCTCCCTTGGCCTGGGTGGTTGTTCAACCCATTTAACCCGCAGTACCACCAGGCTTCTTCCACTGTCTTGTGTCTCACGCCATGGAGTCACCGTCCAGGGCAGGGGAGCGTCCAGGGCAGGGGAGCGGCCCTGTGGCTCTCCGAGACAGTGCATGTTTACGCGAGTAGAGAGCTTTGTTTTTCTCCCAATACTCTAAATATGTTCTGTGTAGTAAGTAAAAACTCAGGCTGGCTATTGAAGACCATGAATGGGGATTGCATTACAACTTGATAAATAATATCTGTTTCTAGATCTACAGGGAAAAGATGAAAAGCATTCACTCTGAAAAGCTAACGACTACCCCTGGATGGCAGCAGGAAGGGCCTGGCTCGGGTTTTTTAGCTTTATATTGAGTGCTTTTGCTTTTGTTGACCTATAGTTACCTTTCTATAGTCAGAAAAAAAAAGCGTTTGTGTAACAAGAAAGTAGTAAGATAATTCTGGGGAAAAAACTGGAAACCATGCAGCAGTAAGCACTCAGTGTGAACATTTCAGGAACCCTGGTGACGTCGTGGGTTACAGGCTGGGCTGCTAACCACAAGGCCAGCAGTTTGAACCCACAGCTGCTCCACAGGAAAAGGACGAGGCTGCGAGCTCCATAAACAGCGAGTCTCAGACACCCACAGCAGGGCTGTGGTTGGGAGCAGAGCACCTTGTTTCCCTCTGCAGTGCTGTGGTTGGGAGCTGCGGAGCGCCAAGCAGAACTGCCCAGAGGGGCTATTTCTTTGTGGAGCAGATGGCTGGGGCTTGCTCCTACAGGGCAGGGCAGCTGACTGCGTTTAACCGCCAGCCTTTAAATTAGCAGCCAAGTGTTTAACCATGACACCGCCACACCGCCTCTGCCCAGACCCCTGGCTTTGACTCCCTCTCACAGCGACCTGGTTGAACAGTAGAACCGCTGCTGTGGGAGTCTGAGACCGTCGCTGTCTACGGAGCTCGGCACGCGCTCCTGGAGCGCAGATGAGCACGCTGCACAGGGAACTGCGGACGCAAAGAACAGGGAGGGCTCCTGCTCAGGGAGACGTCAGTCCAGGGTGACTCACTGCAACAGAGTCCATGCTGACTCACCGCACCCCGTGGGTTTCTAGGCTGGAACTGTTTATGGGAACAGAAAGCCGTGTTTCCCTCAAAGAGCTGCTGGTGGTCTCGAACTGCTGACCATGCGGCTCGCAGCCCAACGCACAACCACTCCACCACCAGGCTCCTCCAGTCAAGGGTGGAGGGAGACACTTTAAAATAAAGGAGACCCTCCTCCATAAGTGTGTCCTGTGAGTGGAGAGGCCAGCACCACACGGATGACATCTGCTGGCCAGGCAGGAGACAGCAGAGAAGGCAGGCAGGCGGAGCCGGGTCCTGGCCAAGCTCTCCGGCTTTAGATGCAGGGGTCTTTAGATGGAAGCGCCTTCTTCTGGGCCCAGCATGTCCCTGATGGGCCGCTGATGGGAATGGAGGGCAGGGGGCCGCGGGCCGCCGGGCACTCACCTCCCCCATGGCGTTCACCACCGGCAAGTGCCGCAGGCCCATGGTTCTGAAGAGATTGAAGACCTGGGAGACGTGGGTGTTGGGTGAAACAGTGAAGGGCGAGGGGTTCATGTATGGGGTGACGTCCTGCAGAGGGGAGGAAAACACCAGTCACCAGGTTGGTTTCTGGGGGTGGGGGTGGGGGGTGGTCCTGGCCTCCCCGCTCCTCACCACGATCATCCTGGGGTTCAGCAGCGTCAGGTCCAGGTCATGGATGTCAGGGTACCGCGGGTAATCCTCGGCCATCTCCGAGTAGGACAGGCGTGGCTGGCTGGCGCTCTGCAACCAAGCCAGAGTAGGTCCTCACACGGTGTGGCCGGGCCCCTCCCCTGGGGTGGGTCCTCCCCCAGCTGGCATCTCCACCCACAGGTAGGGCGGGGCCATTCCTGGCCGTGGGGCCCTGTGTATGTTTCCACGTCTCTGAGCGCCCCTCTCCTCCTCTGTAACGTGAAAGTGAGCCCTGGTGGCGTGGTGGTTACATGTTGGGCTGCTACCTGCAAGGTCAGCAGTTCGAAACCACCAGCCGTTGATGAGGCTTTCTACTTCTTTAAAGAGTTATAGTCTCGGAAACTCACGGGAGCAGCTCTACCCTGCTCCTTAGGGCCACTGTGAGTCAGCAACAACTCCATGGCAGTGAGAGGCGGTGAAAAAGGGCTATTGTGAACAAACCCCCTACTTAGCGCTCCCCAAAAAGGAAGGGAAACAGAGAGCAGGGTGGAACGAATAAGAAACCTGACACTTTTTTGGCTAACACATGTAAAGGAACAGAGTTCACGAAGACTAGAAATTAAAATACAGAAGGGGGTTAAAAACCGAGGAGCCCTACCCTAGTGGTACCGTGGGTTAGGCACAGGGCCCCAAGAGAGACACGAGCTTGTGTGTGTGGGCGCCCGCAAACATTTAGTCATGGGCAGCCTCTGTGGGCACCGTGAGTTGAAAGGCACTGCAGCCTTGGTGAGGTCTGGGACCGAGGCCCGTCAGAATTGGGGATTCAGAAGGGGCGCTGACGGGACACATACCCTCTTCAGCTTGGCTGGCTGCAGAGGGAGGGCTCCCAGGGACCCCTCGTCTCTTCCCGAGGCTCAGGGAGCGGATGCCCACTGCCCAGGCAGCCCTAAGGCCTCGGTCGACTTACCGACTGACTTTCAGAATAGCAGACGCCGCGGACGAGCAGGGTGACGAGCTGCGAGCGCAGGATGAGGCCATGGAAGGTCAGAGGGCGGAAGCGCTCCTCCATGGTCCAGTCTTCGCTCGGGGACTGGTCAGGGTATAGGTTGGGGTAGGGGGTGTATCTGTTAGACAGAAACCAGACACGGCCGAGCACACCCTCAGCAGGAGCGCTTCTTGCCCCACCTACGGGCCCGCCCAGGACGCCTGGCCCCCGCCACGGCCCCCGCCCAGGACGCCCGGCCCCGCCACTGCCCGGCGCGCCTCACCTCCTCTCCAGCATCTGCTGCAGCAGGTCCTCCTTCGCGGCCGGCTCCTCGCAGGCCGCGTGCTCGTCACACACGTGCCGCAGCTCGCTCGACGGGTAGGACTTCATGGACTGGCTGCGCCTGCGCTGCTCACCGGCCCGCGTGAGGATGCTGGATTTCTGCGGGCGGAGGCGGAGTGTGCCAGGGGCATGCCCTGCTCTCCCCCTCCTCTGCTTCGGGGCTAGCCCTTCAATTTTCCATCAGAGGACACCCTCCTTCGCCACATTGCAATGGGAATGCCCCTATACCCAGCCACCAAAGCCACAGGGCCGGCACGGGAGCCAAGTGAGGCGCCTGCACTCTCCCAGACAGGGTTTGAGTCTGGAGTAGCCAAAGACAGGAGGGTAGCCGGCGCCGATTCTTCCTGGCTCCCCATGCCAGCCCCTGGCCCCTGTGTCCCCAGAAGGCCTGGGGCTGGTTCTTCAGCTTCCTTGTTCCTGCTCAGGCGGGTCTACAGCCCTCCCAGGCAGCATGCACCCGAGAAAGAATGGCCGCAGCCTGCTGGGGAGGAGGAGGCTCCCTGGGCACAGTCTGAGGAAGCCCACGCTGCTGGCTCTCCAGGGGGCAATGAGGGCTGACCTCCCCTCGGGCTGGAGGGCTACCTTGAATTTGATGTTGTTGCTGATGAGCTGGTTGCCCTTCATGAACTCCTTCTCGTTGCCCCGGTTTTCGGTGACCACTGGGAAAGCGTGGTGGACCGTGGTGCGCAGGATGCTGACCAGGGACTGGATGCGCGTGTGCGGGTAGACGTAGGTCAGGTTGGGCTCCATGATGTCACTGGCTCTCAGTCTGGGGGAGGATAGGGAAGCATCTGAGTCCACGGAGCTGACCAGACTTCCCGGGGCCCTGTCTTCTGGTTCTTGGCACTCTTGTCTAGCTCCAACGCTCCTGGTCTTTGTAAAACCGCTGGGCTTATGCCTGGTCCTCAGCTCCAGCTGAGTCCCCTCACCATGAGCCCCCGCAACTCGCTGAGCGTGCGGCCATCCCTTCTGCCACTTGCTGTGGGATGCCCACTTAAATGACCTGAACTGAGAAATGCCCACATCTGGGTCTCCCTGGAGCCCTGGGCCAAGTCCCGTTGTACTCACCGCGGGCGCGGCTGCAGCCGCTGCTCCTGCACGTCTCAGTGACAGAGCAGCACTGGAACGGCCAGGGAGACCCAAACACTTGCTATCCCACCTTGACAGAGAAGCCTGCTGACCCCTTTGTCCAACTACAAAGGCCTTGCCTGACACCAGACACAGGAAGCCCAGAGGACTTGTGGGTTGCTGATGACACGACGGTGCTGACACATGGGGAGTAGGCTGGTCCCCACTCCAGGGCTCAGTACGCACACCATTTATGAACGGAATCACAGCGCCCTCTTCTGAGGACGCCAGCGCAGCACCCCAGACCTGGCCAACCTCAGCTTCCTCTGTGTCCCCTCCCACGTGACCCTCAGTGCCCTGTGCTGTCCACCGTGTTCCCCCAGGCTGCACCGCTCAACAATCTCAACTATGCTCTGGAGCAGGGGCGTGCTTTCCGGAGGGCCCTGTGTCTTCTTCTTTCATTCCAGGACCGCCCTGACTGCCTCCCAACTAGATACGCCCCGTTGAGCTCAGCGTCTGAAGCTGAGGCGTGAGGAGGAGGTGTCAAGGCCTTACTTGTCCATTTCCACCTCTGTCTCCCACTCCAGAAGCGGCACTCCTCGCAGGCCCACGTGGATGTCATAAATGCCCTTGTTGAAAAAGTCCCCTGTCCATTTGGCCACCTGAAACATAGCACCACGACTCAGAAGCCATCCCTCAGGACGACCTCCGTGCTGGGTCCGAGAGGCCGGAGTGGGCTGCTCACCATCAGGGTGACCATGATGGGGAGCCCATAGGTGATCTCGTTGGTGGACTCGATGAGAATGACTGTGAGGCTGATGGTCATGCGGACGACCCCGCCCAGGAAGGCTGCAGCACCAATCAGGGCAAAGGTTCCCGAGTAGATATGGCCCAATCCAATGTAGCTGGTGAAGGAAGAAACGAAGGGGTGGGTCATACGGTAGGTGGTGGAAAGGCTGAGGGTTCCACGTACTTGTGCACACGTACTTGCCCAGGTGTGCTACACACACACACACACACACACACACACACACACACACAGTACCTTTTCAGGACATTGGCTACTAAGCGTCCAAAAGCAGCTCCACACAGCAGAGAAGGCACAAAAAGGCCACTGGGAACCGAAATGCCGTAGGTCCAGCAGGCCAGCAAGAAATAGAGGGTGAAGAACAAGGCCAAAGTGACCGGGCTGAAAGTCCCTGCAAGGTAAGACCCCAGACCTCAGGTCAGCGCAGCTCCCAGCAGGCCCTTCCGGGGCCCAGCCCACCCCTGCCAACACGGAGACAGAGATCCTAGTCTGCGGTGGGGGGAGCATGACAGGAAGGGCCAGCCCTGCTCTCTTTGAGGGCCGTGGAAGGACAGAGGGCTCACAAGGCTGCCCCTGCTGGAGGGAGGACCCACCGTCCTGGTGGAAGAGCTGGAGGATGGCTGACTCCTGGGGATTGAAGAGGAGCGTGGCCATGTCATTGTAGGTCTCGTTGGGGCAAAAGAAGGTCTTGATGCTGGAGTTCACGTCTTGTGAGGCGGCCTAGGAAGCAGGCATCACAAAGTCAGCCCCAGGACACCTGGCCAGGGAACACCCGAGTCTCCCTCCCTCCCTCCCAGCAGGATGTTTCTAGCAAGAAAGGGCTCGAGAGCTTTGCCGGCAAAGGAAACAGGTAGCAAGGACCAGAACCATGCTGGTGGGGAAAGAACTGACCCTCATTCAAGAGGCATGTGGCCTCTGCCCTGGTGGCCTGAAAAGTAATGCAGAAACCCTTGGGATTTCCTGGGTAGCTGAGGTGCCCTGTTACCCACAAGGAGCCCCCGGTGGGTTAGGTGATGAGTTGCTAACTGCGAGGTCAAAGGTTCAAAGCCACCAATAGTTCTTTGGGAGAAAGATGAGGCTATTTGCTCTTGTAAAGCTGTACAATCTCATAGCCAAACAGCTTTAAAGAATGAGTCACTGGGTCTGGGGAGTCAGGAGCCTAGTCTCAGGGACACCAGGTCACACAGACAACACTCTGTATCCCACTGTGCTGAGTCACGACTGGACCGGGATCTTAAACACTGGTGAGTAGCCATCTAAGGTTTAACTATTGCTCTCACCCCATCTGGAGGAAAGAAATATGAAATTAAAAATTGCATGAAAGCAATGAGACGGATGGACTCATGGACCCTGCAAACATTCGTCTCCACAACCCACAAGACCAGAAGAGTTAGATGGTGTCCGGCTACCACCGCCAACTGCTCTGAAAAAGGATCACATTAGAAGGCCCTGAATTGCTCCTCAGCCTCTGGGCCAAGATCACGTGTAGAAGGCCCCGAATAGAGTGGGCGAAAAATGTGGAGCAGAACTCAGAATCCAAGAGAGCAGGCTGACAGGTCAGAAAAAGACTGGGGGGTGGGGGTGGGGAGAAGAGGGGACTCTTAAACTATGGCCCTTGGTCACCCTTCAGGTCTGGGACTACAATCACCCCTTGTTAGTGGTCAGTCTGCTGGCTGTCGGGTGCAAAGGACAAAGTTCAGAGGGTTAGGACGGAAGGAAGAACCGGAGACAGGAGACACAGGGAGGAAGTGGGGTTAAGCGATGGCAAACTGAGGGATGGCAACGGATGGGCTGACTCAGAATGTGTATGTACGAACTGCTGAATGCAAAACTGATGATCTATTCTGTCAACCTCCACCTAGTTTACAATAAAATACTAAACAGGAAATGGAAACACAGATGTATGCTCTGGGAACCCTCTACAGGTGGCAGTGACTTGGCAGCACAGCTTAGGGCGGGTGCTAATGAGAGAGGCCTGGTGCCTGCTGACCTCAGGGAGGAGGGGCGAGACTCAACCACACTTGCTTACCCAGCGAGGGCCCACCGGAAGGCCGGGGCAGGGACACTCGAGACCTCTGGCTGGCAGACAGGGTATCACTTCCCTTCCAGGGACGTGGGAACTCTACACTGCACTGCCCCTAGATAGCACCCACGGTACCCCACATGTGTAGCTGTTTTACCTACAATACAACTGGAATTGGCCCACAATCCACTGCAGGATCCACACAGGATTAAGCCCAACTCTGGCCCCCGTGGAAAAAGCCCTCCAGGCCGAGGTGGCTGTGAAAGGAAATCAGGCTCCGCTCTTTCTCCCTGATGCTGCGGACCGAACAAAACCCAAACTGGGAAGCCAGCCATTCTACACCCAGCACGCCTCTCCCTCTTGCCACCTACAGGGCCAGGGTGTTGGGAATCTGTGTGTCTCATTTCCTTGTGGACGCTGCACCGTCCCACCACTGGGGACTGGAATCCCCCCACCCCCACCCCTGGATTCACAGCTCTTTTTGACGGCACTTTAGGGATGACCTGATGTGGACACTGAAGGCACTGGGTCTGTAAGCCCCTCCCCACATGAACAGGCTGGGCATGAACCGGGCTGCAGGAAGGCTTCCGCAGGGATCGGGACGGCACCCTCTGATAGCAGAACCTGCAGGAGCAGTGGCGGAGCAGAAAGGCGCACAGAGCTGGGGCCAGACATCGCAAGGCGGAGCTGAGAGGATAGCGTCCAGAGGGATTGTGGGGGAGGGGAGAGGACTCTCTGGAAGGACCCTGCTGTCAGGTGGGGGGCAGCACCAGTTTCTTCTGGAAACCAGTGTACCTGCTGCGTGCACAGTCCTGGCCCCCCATAGACCGCAGCAGGCGCTCTGTGAAGTCTCTGATTCTTCACCAGCAGAAAGCCCACCCCTCCTGGGAGCAGGCAGGTCCAGCTCATGGTATAGGTCGGTCAAGAGGCAGTGCAGCATAGTGGTTAAGAGCCAGCACCTGGAACCAGACTGGCGCATCCCAAACCTGCTGAGACGCACTTCCCAATGAAGTGAGCTTGGTCAAAGCTTCACTCTGCCTCAGCGTCTCGTCTGTGAAATGGGGGGCTGCTACTAGCCAGCGTGGCTGAACGACATTCAAATTAGACCTGTGGGATGCCTGGCGCGTGAGGAACCTTCCAGAGACTGTGTCTAGTGGGACACAGTTGTCATTCACAACATAATCACCAATAAACTACTAGAGGCCCCAAGAACTCCCAAACTAAAGAAACCCGTGGGGCTAACAGTGAAGTGCTTGGCTGCCCATTGGAAGGCTGGCACTCTGAACCCACTGGGCGACTCAGTGGGAGAAAGCCCCCGCCCCCCTGGGGGGAGGGGGGGGTCCTGTTCCCCTACGGGTGACAGCCAAGCTCTGTCAAGTGGGGTCACGACGAGCCAAAATCAACTCAACGGCACCGAGCAGCAACTTACTTGAACAAAGAAAACATTCCTAATGGCTTTGGAATCACATATACCAATGTTCAGAGAACACACTTTGGAAAACAGCTCCGGTCTGGTCATGGGGTGGTCTTGGGAGTAAACGAGTCATGATCTACGATGGTGGGGGTGGGGTCGTCTGGCATACTTTTTTGGTAAAGCACCAGGTGGCAAAGCCTTTAGATTTATGGGCCAAGTAAAGCATCGGTCATAAATATTCTTTGGATTTTTAAAAACCCTTGAGAACCATGGTTAACTTGGGGCCATATAAAAACAAGCAGTAGCCAAGGGCCAGATCTGGTCCACGGGGTGTAGTTTGCTGACCCCTGATCCAAAACATTCTAACTCTCCTTGGGCTGTTCCTGGGGACACGGCTGAATGAAGGTCCCCAAGAGACTCAGAGACCCAAGAGGCAACCGGGGAGCAACAAGAGGACGGCAGCCCTGAGACGCTCATCAGGCGGCCGCCCCTAAGAGGCCAGAACCACAGCTCCGCCTGCCCCAGGCTAGCTTATCTCAGAGCCCCTGGGCTAGCTGGCCCAGCAGACCCTGGGGAGAGCACCCTACTTCACAGATCCTACTCTGCCAGGGGAAGAAAGGTTCAGGAAAATATCACACTCCTTTAGTTAGGGAATAGGGAAAAACATAACAGGATAGACATTTAAACACACACACACACACACACACACACACACACACACACACACACGCGCGCGCAGGGAAAGTGGCCAGATGGGAGTGTGGCATCAATAATGACAACTGAAGACTGGGAGACTGGGCAGCTGCCCCATCTCAGGAGTGGCTCTCACAACCCCAGAGCACTGATCAGGCTTGGAGAGGTGGGAGGGCTAGCCTGGGTCTGGGGGAAGGAGAAGTAACGGATGGGTGCTGTTGGCAAAGGCGGACAAGGCAGAGGGACTCTCTGGGTCGAAGACTCCCACACACTGCCCTGTGTGTTAGGGACCAGATGGGAAGGCAATGAGCCCAAGGCATCGACCAGCTCTAAACAGAAGCTAGCCACGCGTCCCTGCACTCATCTTCTCTGTGGGTGTGGGTTACAGGAAGCAGGCACACTGGGGTTACCTGGAGCTGGAGGGAGTCATTACCGATTTGACTCGAAGAAGACATCTGCCGGCACTCTCCTAGCACCATGGAGGCCACAAACACCACGGCGGTGGTTACCAGGGACACCAAGAGGCTCTCTAGGACTCTAGGAAACAGAGTTCAGGGCTGACTCAGTGGAAACAGACGTCCTGCTCTTGGGAACTCGACAAACAACACTGCCTACCCCCAACCCCGGTCCCCAAAAGGCACAGACGCAGCCCCATGGGCGTGTCAGTCAACACGTGAGCAGCGACTCGCTGGGTTCTGGCAGCTCATGCGGTCAGTCAAGGGAGCGGACCCATCCACATCCTGCCTCTCTGAGGCATGGAAAGGCCTTCTGTGTAAGCAGGGGTGAGAGTCTCTGGACGCAAGAGAAGGCCCCAGGCCCCCGAGGCTGGGCTTCCAGCAGGAGGCTCCACTGTGAGTGCAGGGCAGAAGAGGCCTTGGGTCCGGCCCGGCAGGAAGCAGGGCCTCAGTGGCCCTCCTCAGGAGGCAAGGCCCTGCTCACAAGAAGCTCAGGGAGCCCCAGGAAGCTGAGGGAGGCGACTATGCAGGTACCTGACAAGCTTAGGTTTCGGGTGCACGTTTCGCATACGGTACTTTGCAAGCCTCTTGTTCAGACAGTTGAATGTGGCTCCCAGGAGGCCCCCAATGACCCCCATGATGACGAAGAGACCCAAGTCCACAGCTGTCCAGAGATGGCATTTTTTATCAGAGTCAGAGCACTGAGAGAAGGGGGGGCAGGGGGAGAGAAAGCAGAGCCCATGAGAACAGGGAGGGGCAGAGGAGAGAAGCCAGAGACAGGAGTGGCGCTGCCCACCACGGGGCATGCAGGAGAGTGACCCAAGAGGAGAGACACCCCCTGGTGAGCGGAACCTGCCCTCTCACCACTTCTCTGGGGGACTTGACTTAAGAGGGTGGTGGTGGGGAAGACACATACCTTAAACTCGCCAAAGTTCAGCAGCCCAGGGAGCTGGAAGGCACCCCAACTTCCAAACTGAATCCCAGAGCGGAAGAAGTTGAGGGTGAAGGTGGCCGACATGGAACAAAAGAGCTGGAGGAGAAGGGACAGTGACAAGTGTGACGCTGCCGGGCACTGGCCCTGTGCAGCAGCGGGGCCCGTGGGATCTAGAACAAGGAGTGTCTGATAGGGCCAACCGCCTGTCTCGCCAGACCAGCCGCTCGGGGGTGAGCGATGCCCGCTCCGTTCCCTCCCTGGGCTCCTCACCACTTTCCACGTGAGCCCCTGGTTCCAGAAGGACGAGCCCTCCTCCAGGCTGAACAAGGTGCCCCCAATCGGGGCCCCAAAAGCAGCTGCGACGCCAGCGGCCGCCCCAGCTGATACAAAGTCTCGCTTGTCCCTTCGGAGGGGAGAGAGATGGGAGTGATCAGAAAAAGCCAGTTTTCTGTTCCCTCAGCCCTACCTTCTCCCAGGATCCGTGAACACGGGGCTTGGGAGAGGCTGTTCTCTGCGAGGTGGCTGTGGTAAGGTGAACACCCTCCCTGGAGGCGAGCCCCAGGGCTGTGCTTCCTTTGCCTGGGGACAACCCGAAAGCCAGCCTCGGGTTTCTGCAGTCGCCACTGAAACACATCCCTCCCAGAAAATGCCCAAGTGCTGGGGCCACACGGAGGAGCGGATGCACAGTGCCACGCAACACACACACGAGGGGCACTCTGACCCTGACCCTGAGCTGCTGGCCAAGGGCCTCGCTAAGTGCGCAGATGAACAGCAGCCCCACACCCCCAGGCCTTGCAGCAGCTTCTTGGGTGCTCAGCCAGTGAAGGCATTTTGGAATAGAGGGCACATCTCTGATGAGATATCCGTGGGCACCCGCTGTCCTGTTCTCCACCTTGGTGTCGCTGCCCGTGAAGCGGTGGGCCTCACGTCTCAACCAAACTGAAGTCGCGATACCGGTCAGGCCCTGTGGCTGCCTCTTTCCTGAAGAGCCACTCCAACCCCCTTCTTTTCCGGCGGTGGTGGCAGGCCCACCCCGACCATCCTGGAGAAAGCTTGTGGTCTGACAGGCCGTAAACAACCACTTGGCTTCTGAGTCACACCTAATTCCGATCCTTTCCGTACCTGTCACTTCTGAAATAGGGGAAGTTGAACTGAATCTTGCGTAAGGAGATGCTCTGGAACTGAAACGAGGGGGAACAAAGTCAGAGCAGCAGGAGTCCACGGCTCTGGGGGTCCCCCCCTGCTCAAGCACACCTGCACAGGTGAGCTGCCAGGAGGTGGCGGCCAGCAAATCAACCCGGAGAGGAAACAAGTTACCAGCCCCCGCCCCGCCTCAACCTTTAGAGGGACTTCTTTTCCCTGCAGCCCTTGCCTTGATTTCTAGGCTCTGCAGAGACAAGGGGGAAATCACGGAGCAGTGAGGGAGAGGCTGAGGAAGACTGGAGGAGACAGAGGTGAGGAGGCCAAGCAGCCAGTGTTCAGTCTGTTCAGCAAACTTCTGAGCTGACACCCGGCCCGGGCTTGGCCTCCGTCCACCCCTCAGCTCACCGCCAGAGTCCAGAACTTGATGTGAGGGTGCTGGGGCAGCAGTGGGACGGAGGACCCCAAGGTGAGCTGTGAGGGAAAAACCCTCTCTTCTGCCTCAGGAATACACACCGCAGCAAGATCCCGCCCCCCTCCGAACAAGGGTGGTGTGAGCCCACAGGGGCTGGGGCTTCTCAGCTGTGTGGCTGGCCCAGGAGCCAGGATGGTCCATTGGAGCTAATGCCCCAGCCTCTGAGAGTGGGTGGTGCTGAGCTGGTATGCCAAGCCACCCTAGTGGAGGTCCATGGCAGGGCAGTGGGGACACCATGGTGACTTCCCTCGGTCTCCTATTTTGGTTCTCTGAGGACTTAGCAGGGCACTATGAAGACTGCCAGCACCTGACCTACTCTTGAGACACCACCCACACATTTTTCACGGCAACCTGCACTGCCATCCGGATTCTGCAGCTGTGGGCAAGGAAGGGAGACACTCAGCTCTCACCTGAGGAAGGCCGGCTCCCACCACCGCTCCGCTGTGGATCATGGGACCTTCCTTCCCCACGAAGAGCCCTGGGGCAGGGGACAAGGAAAGAGCAGCAGTAAGTAACCCCAGAGGGCCTCCTGGTCAGGAGACCTTTGCCACGTACACTTTTCTCTTGAGAACCTAAAACAGGGACTGAACCACAATTCTCACCCAACAAGCTCATTTCAAATCAAGCCCTTCTAGAAAATACTCCACACTCCAGGTCAGCAGTCAATACACTACAGGCCAGCGGCCAAGTCTGAGCTCATGTTCATACAGCCCAGGACCTAAGCATGGGCTTCAGGTTCTTACGTGGCTCCATTGTAAATGGTCAAGTAAGTACCTATGCAACATGCCCAAGTTCTACCCAAACCCAAACCCACAGCCCTGAGTTGATTTTGACTCCTAGTGACCTGGAGGACAAGGTCGCTGCCCCCAGGGTGTCCGAGGCTGTCAATCTTTACGAAGAAGATTGCCTCGTCTTTCTCCTCTGGACCAGGGTTTGACCTGCGGACCTCGCAGTGGGCCGCCTGGTGCTTAACCCACTGCGCCACAAGGTCTCCTCCTCCTCTAGCCCGAAAGCCACTGCCGCTGAGTCCGTCCCGACTCACATCATGTCCCCGAGATGGGGAATCTTTCTGGGAGCAGCCAGCCTCATCTTCCTCCCTCGGAGCAGCTGGTGAGTTTGAGCCACCCGACTGTTGGTTAACAGGCCAACTCTTAACCCACAGTACCACCATGGCTCCTTCCGCTGGTCCCACGAAGCCTAAAACAGTTACTGCCTGGCTGTTTACAGAGCGCGCGTGCTGACTGCTCTCCTGCGTGCAGGGCAGTGGCTTTGCTTTAAACCCAGCTCCACCCACCCAGGAGCTAGTCAGTCTCCTTCAGAACAGACGGGGAGCTGGTGGGGGGAACTGAGGACTGCCATCCTGTGTCTGCACTGGCAAAAACGACCCACCTACAAAGTGTGCCGGCACGTAACTCACCATCCACACAGGCAGTGCCCCTTGTCCTCCCGGCCCTGACTCCCCAGCCTCCTGAGATGTGGCAGGCCATGCAAAGATGAGGATGGCCACCCAAAGGCCCGCCTTACCTCCAGCCACACTGAAGAGCACCCCAAAGACTTTGCAGAGCAGGGTCCGGAGCCGGACAATTCCTGGCACCTTCACGCCGTTCAGGTAGCATTTGATCTCGGGTATCCCCGAGCCTGCGGCCACTGGCTGAGGAGAGAGCAGGCCCGCCCGTCAGCACCCCCCACCAGCACCGCAGTCAGTCACCCTCAGTGTCCAGGAGCCCCAGGGGGAACGCCGGCCCACAGGTTACAGCAAACTGGAACAGTGTGAGCATCTCCTGCAGGGCTTCTTAAAATCCGACTGCTGCACCCCCACCCCCATTTGATAGGTCTGAGGGAGACGGGGAGATCTGTTCTCCTGGGTGCCAGGACCCCCGAGGGGTTTTCCACCATCAGAGCTGGTCCCTAGCCCCCAGAGACTGATCTAATCAGTTGGTGCTGGGGCCCAGGCATCAGCATTTTCAACACGGAGTTAAGTCAAGTTGAGGACCACCGTCGAATCTAGATGGTCCTCTCCAGAGGCCATCGCCTCTCCTTGGCGGAATGTGCGAGAAAGCACCCTGCCAATCTAGTCGTGTCCCGGCCTTCAGGAGGGAGGCCCACAGCCAACAGACTGCTCACCTCAATCAGGACAAGAAGGCTCCCCAGGAAGACGAAGGTGAGGTTAAAACCCAGGAGCTCCAGCAGGGAGAGGGCGAGGCAGCCTTTCTCGCTGCATTCCTCCACCGCTGCAGAGGCCGGCTTAAGGAAAACGTGCCCCACGCCGGGCCTGCCCACAGGCACCGGAAATGTGCGTCCCACACACCTTTCTGCCCTCCACGGACCAGGGGGCTTCAAAAAGTGGGTGGGAAAACGAACGATAAAGCAATGGAATTTTCCCACCCACCCTTTGAAGCCTCCCACCCCCGTTATCTGGGATCTTTTACGTGGCAAACTATTTTAAATCATGAAATAACTTAAACCATGTCAAATGGAAAGGTGCACCCAGAGCCCCACACCCCAGCCTTTACAAATCTCAATGTCTGCCGCTGTTCCCGTCAATTAAAAAATCAAAATTCAATAAATAACCTTTGTCTCTCCCCTTCCTAACACTGTGATCCTGAGACGACGGTGCCTTTCCCTGTACGTTTCCATGTTTCCGTCTCGTTCGCGCTTCTTGGGATGACAGTAAGTGGCATTTGACCTTAAGGACCATCTGTGGCTTCCTTTCCTCCCTCTCCACCTGAAGTGTCTCAGAATCAGTCTTGCTGACGTGGCAGCTCAATTAAGCGTTTGGATGAAGGCAGGCCATTGCGCCCAGACCAGACGCCTGTGCTTGAGCCGAGGGGGCTGACGCAGAGAAGGGATCTGTGGGTCGCTCCACTTCCTGGGTCCAAGGGGCGGTGAACCCCTTCCTAGGGGCTTACTGGCCATCCCGTTTTCCTCTTCTGAGGACTGTGTGCTCACCTCCTTCGCTCATTTCTCTACGCGACATGATCGGAGTTCTTTCTATACGCTGGATACTAATGACTGGTCTTTCGTGCGGCAGGAAGCAGTACGTCCAGGTTACAGGCCTCTTTCTTGTTTGGTTTGGGGTAGCTTATCGTTCCTGTTATTAGGCTTTTAAAAAAACTATCAGAACACTGATTTTAGTAATTAAGTCTTTTCTTTATACCTTCTGCTTGGTGGAGCTGTTTAAGAAGTCATTCCATGCTCTTGCTATCCTACTGAAAACTCCATCAAGTTGATTCCAACTCAGTGACCCTGGAGGGCAGAGCAGGACCGCCCATTTCCATCCTGAAGGCGGCAATCTCGCGGAAGCAGACTGCCAGGTCTCTCTCCCTTGTGGCAGGGGGTCCAAACCACCCAGCTCTGGACGACAGCCAGGTGCTATGCTCACCGCAGGGCTCCTCTGTCCTGGTCTGGTCTGCTTAGAACTCATCTGGTCCTTTTGTATCTCAATCCATGTGGAAGTTACCATTGTTTATAGTGCAGAGTAGAGATCTACTTTTGTCATTTTCCACATGAATAAACCAGTATCACGGCACCTTTCACTGACTACTCTGTCCCTTTCTCACGGATCCTAACACTCGTGCCTCACCAAATGCCCGTGTCTGCATGGGCCAGGGTCTGCTTCTCCATCCTCCCTGGGGCATCCCTGTTTCGGGCAGTGGATGCACATGTTTGTGATCTTGCCAAACAGCAGGCAAGGCCCTGTGCTGGTGTTTAAACTGGTTTTCTCCTTTGACCCGCTTACCCTTCTACACACATTTGGAAAGAGAAGTTTCAGGTTCTATGATTAATTGGCTTTGGATTTTTTTTTTTTTAGTCGTTTTATCAGGGGCTCTTACAGCTCTTATCACAATCCACACATCAATCCATTGTGTCAAGCACATCTGTACATTTGTTGCCATCATCAGTCTCAAAACATTTTCTTTTTACTTGAGCCCTTGGTATCAGTTTGTTTGTTTTTTAATTGCAACTACATTGAATTTATCGATTGCCTGGGGAGAAGAGCTATCTTTATGGTGTTTGGGTCTTGCAAACCAGGAATATCAGTTGCTCACTGATCAGCAAGGTCATCTTTTCCTGTCCTCTGGTGATTGTTAGAAACCATAGCTGAACGGCTAATAAAACAGCCCTATAGACATTGACTGTGTTCACGTGAGGACCATTTCCAGGCAATGAAGAAACTGGGCACCAATGGAGTTCAAGAGCCCGGGGACCAGAAGAAGGATACATGTCTGCACCACTCCGAACTTGAGCTGGGTGAAGAGCCGCACAAAAAAGTCCACCAGGAGACCCACCTGTGAAGAACGAGAGATGCCTCAGGCAGGCTCTCCCCCGGGGCGGGACAGCCACTTCTCTCCAAGGGGTGTGTTGTCCCCACTACACTGACAGTGGCTGGCCAGGCATGCCGGGTGACCAGCCAGCAACACACGAGGGAACTTTCTGTTCATCACTCAGGCTTTTGAGCCACTCCCTGCTCAGCCTGGTCCCACCACCCTCCAAAGAACAGTGGACAGAGCACAGGTAAAACCGACGAAAGGAGGCAGAAAGAGATGTGAGGCCAAGGAGGGATCCCCTGGGACCAAAGATACTGGGTTGTGCACATAGTTTCTCGAAGGCTGTTTCAAAAAGAGAATTCCAACAATGTCTTCCATGAGACTCCATGGGATAAGCACACAACACTCAAACTAAACCCGGTGCTGCATGGATTCTGGGTAGAACTGCCCTGCAAGGGTTGTAAGGCTGGGGTTTTCACAGAAGCGGACAGCCTCATCTTTCTCCTGCAAAGTGGCTGGTGGGTTTGAACCACTGGCCTTTCAGTTAGCGGCTGAGCGCTTAACCACCGAGCCAACCAGGGCTCCTGGCTATGTCGCATCTAGATCAGGAAACTACTCCGAAAGTCAACCAGTGGAGGACAGACAGCCCCATGCTGCTGGGAGGGACAGCCAGGTCTGACGGGGCTCACTGTGCAGGATGCCAGTTTGCCAGCCTCACCTCCTCCGCTCAGCCGTCAGGGGGCCAGAACCCTTCCTACTACTGTCTCTGGCTATGTTTCCCACTCTTCTGCACTCACCTCTGATCCACCTACAGCCCGGCTGAACCCAGATGCACCACGGCTTACTCGGGCATATCCGTCTGCCTGCACTGCCAGCTCTACCCTCCAAGCCAAGCTCTCAGTGTGCAGGAGGGCACAACGAATGCCCTGAGACACACAGCGTCCTGTTTATGGGCACATTCTGCTGAAGGGAAGGGCACGCTGTTCAAATCTGTTCCCGTGACTTTGCTTCCCTCCCGCACCCATGAAGTGAAGCGCTCCGTCACCTCCCAGGCAGGAACAGACTCACGCCACAGGAGGGAATTCTGAACCAGACCTTGGAGCACTTCATGAGCACCACAGCTGCCAGACTCACTTCCAACTCAGGGCAATGGCAAGAGGTTCAGTAAGGGGGATAGAAGAAAAGACAGGCTCGATTATAATGACAAAGGGCTCTGCAGACCAGCCGCTTACCCTTTGGCCCCACTCCCATCCCTCTGGCAGGACACCCAGCCACACCCAGCGACTCACCAGCCCCGTGCAGACGCCAATGGCAAACACCACCATCCACTTGACCGCCTCATACCTTCGACCTTTCTGTTCACAAGGGAGGAGATGGCATTAGGGAAGGAGCACTTCTTGACCAACCAGGTTTAGAATAAATGCCATGGAGCCACCAAGCCTGGTGAAGATGAAGTTCAGATCATGGGCTCTTTACAACCCAACTCTGAGGGGCTGGACCAGGGTCACTGGCCATTGGGAGTCTGGTTGGCAGGATGAAGGCCTAGGGGAATTCTGCTGCTACCCATCAATGGTGCTAGAAGGCCAAGGGTAAGAAGGCTCTTTACCCGAGTATTTCGAATAGGAAGAGAAGTTTGTGGACGAGCTGTCAGTACCAAGGGGTCAAGAACTGGGGACTCACCTTGTTATCCATGGTCTCCAGCACTTCCAGGTAGGGGTCATTGATACAGCGATCATAATCCAAGCTCTGAAAGAGGGACATGGGAGTAAGAAGACCACAGCCAGCTAGAAAGGATTATCTGTAAAGGGACATGGAGTAACTTTCCTGCCGCTTAAAGTGGGGATGGGCACCACTCACAAGGAGCTGGTTTGAAATATGCAGACGCCCCGAACCCTCCGGCCCTACTGTCCCAGAACCTGCACTTGAACAACATCCCCACGTGACTCGCCTGTGCGTGTCTGAGAAGTATGGTGTTAATACTTGCAAACCAAAACTCACTGCCAGGGTCGATGTTGACTCGTAGCAACCCTGCAGGGCAGGCAGAACTGCCCATGTGAGTTTGCAAGACTGTAACACTTCACAGGAGTAGAAATTCCGTCTTTCTCTTGTGGAGCAGTTGGTGGTTTCGAACTGCTGACCATGTGGTTAGCAGCCCAATGCATAACCACTGCACCACCAGGACTCCCCAATGAATACTTACGGCTTTAGAAAAAAATTGCTAAATAAGCACACTCTTTAGCTGCTGCCACACATTGAATGACCTTTGGCTATGACCGGCCTTATCCAACCGGCTCCGGTACATATGAACAAAAGCTTTCATTGATTAGAACCAGTCATCGTAACAGCAAATTAACCCTAATTATCCTGTGTCTTCCAGTCCTGTGAACCAGAACTTAGTTGCCAGGCAAACTGCTTTGAGGCTACCTGACCAAGACGCTTCCAGTTCCTGTCAGTCAGAAACAGAGGTTCAGCCCAGTTCCTGGGACACGTCCACTTACTCCGTCAGCACCACGCTTCCCAGAAGCACAGCTGGCAAACCACCCCCACGCTCCCTGGACACCTCCAGGGAAATCAGTGTTCCCGTGTCTCCGGGCGGCAGAGGCAGCTCAGGAAAATAGTCTACCGACAGTGGATGAACTCCCTCTGACCACAGCTGAGGGGCTGACCAGCCTGGCCACCAGGCAGAGAGCATGGTAAAGTCCATTTGGTTAAGAACCACTATCTTATCATTTGATCTCCCTTCTGGCCCATTTTAAAGTTGTTGAAGGAGAAAAATACGGAAGGGGGAAGACTTGGGATTAAGCCACTAACATCACTTCTGACCCCAGTGGAAGGATATGAACAGCCTTGTCATCAGACAGAGAGCACTGTGAAGTCCATTGTGGCCGAGGTAGCTGGTTAAAAGGTACTATCTTATCATTTGACCTCCCTTCTGAAGGGGAAACAAGCATGGATTAAATCACCTCTGGTGGACTTCTGTGACCGTGGACCGGGGTGGGGACAGCCTTGAGTGCACTGGACAGTGAATTTACTGCAGATGCAGTTAGGTAAAAATTAACACCTTTTCATTTGATCTCCCTCTTGATTCCTTTAAAAGTTCTAGTTTTAAAACTTTTCTGCTTTCTTTTCCATTGAGGGTTTTATCTTACTTTGTTGTAGGTTTTTTGTATTTGTTTAAAAAAAATGTTTTTCTGCATAGAAATCCAAGACAGGTAAATGTATAGCTTCAGTAACTGGATTAATGATTCCTTGGGGGCATGGCAGGGGAGGATGGGAGGAGACGGGGAGCTAATAACGATGAGCACAAGACTGAAGAAAATGCTCTAAAATGGATTGTGGTGACGACTGATTATACAACTCTTCTCAATACGACTGAACTATTGAATTGTATGGTTTGTAAGTGATATGCCAATGAAACTGTTGCGAGAGAGAAGGAAACAGCCTGGTGTGATGCTGTATCTCAGCTGACACATCAGCTGAGGACCAGGCTGAACACAGGCCTGGTGGACGGGCTTCCAGGCAAGAGCCAGAAGCCAGGCCAAGGAGGGCATGTGCTAACTGCCCCCACTGCTGTGACTTTCTACATTCAGTCACAATACCTTTAAAAAATGGGTCCTGGCAGCTCTGACCCACAGCGACCTGTGCCTGACAGAAACAAACGCTGTACAGTCCTGCGCCACATGCACTATTTTCCTTATGCCTGAGCCCATGATGCAGCCGCTGTGCCAGGCCATCTCCCTGAGGACCTTTCTCCTTTTTGCTGCTCCTCCACTTTCCCTAACATCATGTCCTTCTCCAGGGACTGGTCTCTCCTGACAATGTGCCAGGAGCTCTCTGGCCTTACTTCTTCCAGTACAGGTCAGCTTGTCCTCTTAGCAGTCCACGGTATGTTCAATGTGCTTCTCCAGCACAATCCAAAGCATCTGTTCTTCTACAGTCTTCCTTATTCAATGTCCAACTTCCACACACATATGACGCAATGGAGAATAAACAGTATGACTTGGGTCAGGTGTACTTGGTCACATCCTTGCTCTTCAATACTCTAAAGAGGTCTTGTGCAATAGATTTACCTAATGCAATACGTCTTTTGATCTCTTGGCTGCTGCTTCCATGAGCATTACATGGATCCAAGTAAGACAAAATCCTTGCCTACTTGACCTTTTCTCCATTTGTCCAGTTGTGAGGGTTTCAGTCTTCCTTTCATGGAGTTGCAATCCACACTGAAGGCTACACTCCTTGACCTTCATCAGCAAGTGCTTCAGTCTGTCCTCACTTTCAGCCAGCAAGGTTGTGTCATCTGCATATCATGGACTATTAATAAGCCTTCCTCCAATCCTAATGTCACATTTGTCTTCAACAGTGACACTGAACAAATATGGTGAGAGGATACAATCCTGTTGCACACCTTTCCTGATTTTAAACTATGCAGTACGCCCGCCCTTGTTCTGTTCACACCACTGCCTCTTGTTGTTTGTACACGTTCCGAATGAGCACAATGAAGTGTTCTGGAATCCCCATTCTTCTCACGGTTATCCACAGTTTACGATGGTCCACAGTCCCATGCCTTTGCAGAGTCAGTGGCACACAAGTCAACATCTTCCTGGTGTTCTCTGCTTTGAGCGGAGCTCCATCAATGACATCCTTTGTTCCGCGTCCTCTTCTAATCCGGCCTGAACTTCGGCAGTTCCCTGTCAAGGTGCTGCTTGCAACCACTGTTGGATGGTCCTAAGCGAGATCGTATTTGTGTGCAGTATCATTTGACCATCCTGCTGGGTCACCGTTCTTTGGAATGAGCACAATATGGATCTCTTCCAGTCAGGTGGCCAGATAGCTGTCCTGGCATATCCAGGGGAAAATGATTACATCAATTTTCAGGCATCCCCAAATGGAGTAAGATGTAGCCAGAGAATAATTATGACAGATCTATGGACATATGCGGGAAAATCCCCAAGTAAAAAGGAAACCATGCAATAAAACGTATAACGTGGATCCACTGTGACTGAGCAAAGCTAGCACTGTGGACTTGTCTATGCACCTTACACATAAGGCACAGACTATCTGGGACGACTGTTGAACGTGGTCATCGCTGAGGTAGTGTTTCAGGAAGTGTGCACACCAGTGAACTGTTTGAAAACTTCACAGTGAACATAATGTCCTTTTAAAAAACTATCCTTTCTGATTACAAGGCAAAACAAACAAACAAACACCACAGTGAATCAGAAATGTTAGATCTCTCTCTGGAGCTAGATTTATACCTCGGTCCTTGGCTCCGCTGGAGAAAGAATTCACGCTGAAGCCTGGTTCGTGATCAAAGTGAGTTTTATGAGAATTAGAAGAAGTTTCAGGTTTACACGGCACCCAAGGGGCTCCTTCTGGACATGCGCCTGGCTGGAAGCGGCTCAGTGTCTTGCAAAGTGTCCCAAAGTCCTGCCAAAGCTCTCTGCACCTAAGTTCTCTCCCTCTCTCTTCTCCCGGCTTCTGCCTTTTCAAGGATTCCACAGGGAGGCGTGGTGGAAGACCCCTGATCGACCCCATTGGCTGAATTGAATTTACCTGGCTAGGTGAGCCAATTCAAGTTCACGCCCACCCCTGCCTACCAGCGGGAACCCTGAGCATGTGCAGTGCGCCACTCCTTTGTTTCCCTAGCTTGGCCCTCTAGGCATGCGTTAACGGACATTCCCAACCCTTTGCTAACCTACCTAACAGAAATGCTTCTGTTGGGAAACTGGACTCATCTATGAGTGGGGAGACCGCAGGGGAGGCTTTGAAAAGCTAATGGAAACTCTGAGACCAGAAGAACTAGACAAGGATCACACTAGACGGAGTGTGAGGCGTGGGAGGAACAAGTGGAACAACATTCGAAATCATCCAAGACCAGCACCACTGATCAGGCAGAGACTGGTGGCCTTGACTCTTCAGGTCTAGAAAGGAAGTCAGCCGGCCCATCTCAGTAGTTAGAATCATCAACCCACGATCAACAGTAGCCTGGATCCAAGGACCAAGTTTCAAGGGTTGGAAAGGAGCAAGACCGGAGAACAGAAACAAAGGGAGGAAGCGCGCTATACGGATAGGATTGCAATGGAGAAGTGGAATCAGACTGTGTGCGAATTGTTGGATGTAACCCTATGATCTGCTCTGTAAGCTTTCACCTGATTCATAACACAGTTTTCTTTAAAAATGTGTGAGAAAATGGAATGAAGATAATGAGATTTGCCACAAGCTTTCTGAAGTTCCCTTGTAGGTTTCCAAATCAAGAGCCAGAGAAAGTGCTGGAAAATAGGGATGTCCTTCACAGCCAATTATGTTTAGAAATGACTGACCAAGAGGTTATTGGCTTGATGGGCTTTGTCTTTCCATAAATACTTGAGACAGAAAGTAGATGAGTCGGTGCCTATGGCTTGGGGTAAATTGGAACTGATTGCTAATAGGTTGGGGGTGAGGAGGGGTTCTTGTAAAGTGATGAAAATGTTTTAAAATTGATTACGGTAATGTGTCTATACTAAAACCCATTGCATTGTATGCTTTGAAATGAGGAGTTGCGGGCTGTTTTCTTGAGGGAAGGCCTGACCATGCAGTGGTTCAAGTGCTTGAACCTACCAGTGCTTCGTGGGGGGATATGTGGCCATTTGCTTCCACATGTGTGCAGCCTAGGCAACACTGTGCGGTCATTCAGCTCCATCTGACCGGTGGCTGTGAGTTGGAATCAGGTCGACAACAGCGGGTTGTGCTTTCATGGACTTGATGGCAGTGAGTTTGGTTGGGTCTTGTTCTGATCTGGTATTGCTGTTCGGTGTCATGCAGTTGGTTTTCGATTCACAGTGAGCCCGGATGACAGGTAGAGCTGCCCTGTAGGGCTTCCCCACCACACACACAGAGGTGCTGGATGGCGTGAACTGCAACCTTCTGGCTAGTGGCCAAGGCCTTAACCACGGCGCCTCTGGGCCTCCTTGGGTGAAATTGTGTAGCATGAGGAAAGGGGGAGGGATGAACATTAGAAAAAACTGCAACACCAGAACATCAAGCTTTCTTTAAAAACAGTGCGTGTGACCCTATGAATAGCTATCAATGGGACATGTGGTGTGTGAGCAAAATCAGGGATGGTTACTTCTCTTTGGTCATGGCTCACTAACTCACTTCCCTTTATTTCTGCTCTATCTATCTGGCCAATTAATAAGGTTTCTTTATTCTTAAATAAAATGTCCATGCTGTGTCCGACACAAAGGCTGTTAACACGGAGTTGAAAGGTAGTACTCACCGTGGGGCACGTGGGGGCAACTGCAGCCCAAACTCGGGCTGGGAGAGGCACCCTGATGCTCACACAAAAGCACCTCCAACTGTCCTGGAGCTGAGCTGCTTTTACAGCCCAGAGAGGGAGGCGGCCTTTCCTTCTGTCCCCTCTGCTGCCCCTTTTTGTTGGCTCCATGGCCTGCAAGGAAACTCACTGTGTGGTGTCTCACCATCCCACAGAGAGCAAGTAGCTATCATTCAAACCACCTAAAGATCCGAACACACAACACTGGATAAGGTGCTGTGTCAATTATTAAAGCCTCCCAATAAAAGACATTCTGAAAAGTGTTTGTTGGGGGTGGGGAGCAGTACCATCAGAGAATATATTCAACTGTACTCCCGTGGTGCAAGTGGCAAAATCAATTTTCTTTTAAGAGAACATTTACTACATCTTAAATGCGACAAGGACAAGACAACTTCAGAGACCTGTCATCCATATGAGGAGACTCTTAGCATGGGATCATCACGGTGTCTATGGGTTTGCTGAGATGGCCAAATCTAGACCATAGAAAATTCCCGAGTCCTACAATGCCACCGAGGAGCTCTGGTGGCACACTGGGTTAAGTACCAGCCTGCTAACAACCAGGTCAGCAGTAGGGAAGGAAGAGGAGGCTCACATATGGGAAACCTTATGAAGCAGGTCTACTGGTCCTATCGGGTCGCTATGAGTCAGAATCAACTCGACGCCTGGGGGTTTGGTGACATCAGCAGGATGGCTCAGTGGTGAAGCACTCAGTGGCTAGTCAAAGGTCTGCAGTTAGCACCCACCAGCTGCTCCTCAGGAAGAAGATCCGACAGTCTGCTTCTGGGAAGAAACCCCGTGGTTCAGTTCTACTCTGCCCTACAGGGCCGCTATGCGTCAGGATTTGACTCGATAGCAAGGGGTTTGGTCTTTGGGGGTTTTAATATGTCCTCAAATAAATGCTGGCGATGAAAGAGGGAGCCTAGAGATTACAAGAGATTTAAAAAGCCCTATCAAACAACAACTGCACTGTGAAGAGTCCCTTTGGACTCTGAGTCTAACAAACGGAAAACAAGACACACAATAAAACAACAGGAAGCTTGAAGCCTGGATATTGGGGGATATCAAGAAATTATTCATTATTTAACCCACACTTAACTATTTCTAGAAGAAGTGCTGAGATGTAGAGATGAGGGAAAGAAGAAAGTGGGTGAAACAAGATCAGCGGTGGGCTGCAGAGTGGTTGAAGTTCAGTGTTGAGTACAGAGGGCTTCAATATACTCTCTACTCTTGAAATTCTCCATAATTACAGTTTTAAATAAGAAAAAAAAAGGCCCATGTCACGCTACAATGTTGTCAGTCGTCATTAAGGCAGCTCCCACTCAAAGGCAACATAACGTGTATTAGAATAAAACCTTCAGAAATGCCCAGTCCCGTGATACCTTCATGACCCCTGGTAAGTTCAAGCCCATTACAAATCCTAGTGGTTACACTACATTCCACAGCAAAAGGAAGATGAAAAATTAAAAAGAGAATTTCATCTGGGTAGGTGATTGGCCAGTGAGCAGGATTTTTAAAGTGTACAAGACAACTTTTTAAAAAAGCATTAACCACATACAAGGCTAATTTAACTTCTTGGAATTAACCCTAAGGAAGCATTGAAGACAGAACAAGCAAGGATGCTCCCACTATATATCTACAGAAAAGCCGGAATCAATCGATGAGGGATAGAGTAAACCATGGCACAGTAAAATGACGCATCCATTTAAAAAGATGGTAAATGTACCTAGTGATACAAAAATATCAACTAGGAAGGCAAAAGTGGGCCAAACTAATATAGTTAATAAACACTTTTTTTTACTTAAAAAAAAAGTATATATGTAAGCACGGGGAAGGACCTAGAAAGACAAAAGTTTAATTGCAGTTATCTTTTTTTAAATTTTGTTTTAGTAGTACTCAGCTTGTAAGGAATGGGATTGTACATCTTTCACCAGCTTCATCTTATTGTAAAGGTTCTCTGTAAGCATGGCTTGCTTTTCTCATTTCAAGAATGAGAAAGGAAAAACAAACTATCACGAGAAACTTTTACGAACGAGAAAAAAGTCAGGCGATGTTAAGCTCGACTCTTGGGCATGGGCCTTAGTGAGAACATGCTGGAAGAGTCTGGTACCAGAAACTGGGAAGTCCAAGCAACATCGTGAGAGAAGTTGCTAGGGCTGGAAGCAATCACCTGAAAACCAAGTTCTCTCAGAAGAGGAAAGGCTTCCTGGCCCCACACCTAAAATGAGCACAGACTCTGGGTTGTTCTGACTCTGGGTCTCTGCATTCATAGAACCCAAACCGTTCAGTGGCAAGTACATGACCTATCTAGGCTAGGGTACCATAGACGGACAAAAGCACAAAGCTGCGCCAACCTTGCTTTCGGGCTTCTGCCCAGACATGAGTCAATTCTTACTCTGGAGTAGTAAGTTATCAAAGAGCATCTCCTAATGCTTTATCCTGAAGCAACTAGGCCACTCCGTTCTCAGGGAAGCATCGAAGAATCTCACCTCATAGTCTTTCCTTGGAAGGATCTCATCATCTTCCTCCTGCGTTTCTCCGAGGATGGTCTAGAAAAACAGACCCACAGAGGGTAAGCCCTTTTAATAGTTAAAAGTGGCAAAAGGAAGGCGTAGGTACAGAGCTCACCGGAAGCCATTATCACTGGATGGGAATAAGACCTCAAAAACAAACATTAAAACTTCTGAGGTGGCATAGTGAGGTGGGTAAGAATTGGCCACCATTCGGCTACCTTCTATCAATATATTTTCCAAATAAACCGTTCTTGATCTCGGGGCACTTGGAAGCTATCCCATGCAGGGGAAGCGGGGTCCGGGCGGGGGTGGGGTGGGGCAATCAAGCTCAACGTGCCCAATCTGAAGTGAGAAGGGAGCTGCCAACCCTGGGGATGCAACTCGAGTTTTCCCAGGGGGCTTTGCGGAAACCACTCTGGGGCGTCAGGGACCCAGCAAGGGTGGGGGCTAGCGCGAGCTCCGGGGGGGAAACCACGGCAGCTGCAGCGCCGTATTCTGCAAACGCTTGTGTCGTCCGAAACTCCCTGCGGATGGCAATACAAGGAGCTACGGGCCGAACTGA